GAGTGGCTTGTACAAGTCATTTTCATGTGTAGAACAGTAAATCATCTGATTAAAAGACGGACGGAGAGATGAGGGTGAGAACGAGGAGTGATGGAGGGATGAAAGACGGATGCGTCTCTCCGCCGAGAGCTCTATTGACTTATCGTCATAGAAACTCAGCGTGAACATTAACGAGCGGATGGATCTCATTATCAGTAATTCACCTTAAAATGGAAACGACTCGAGCGTTAAATGAAAGCCAGCACAATAAAACAAAACCTAACAAAGCAGAGCGACGAGCCGCTGCACACACAACACGTCTGGATGTTCATTCTGAGGATCAAACCACTCGTCTCGCAGCTTTATCCATCAGATCGAGCACTTCTGTAGCGAAATAAAAGCAATCAATGGGGTCAAGTGGTGAATATGATGATGTAATTTAATAACCGCTCCAAACCTTCACATAAGAACAAGCACAAAATAAAAACCATCTTCTCTAGTGATTATTCTAAATGATGACAGAATATTCATTTCTGGCTGAACTGCCTCTTTAAATAAACAAATGTATTCATATTCATAAAATCAACAACATTGGACCCCGTGGACTTTCATTATTTGCAAGCAATACATATATTAAATAAATAGTGGACCCCACTGACTTGCATAAAATAAAATATAAAAAATAAAATAAAATAAAATAAAATAAAATAAAATAAAATAAAATAAAATACAATTAAATACAATTAAATACAATAAAAATAAAATAAAATAAAATAAACATTGTATCTAGTGATTATTCTAAATGATTACAGAATTTTCATTTTGGACTGAACTATCTCTTTACATACATTTATTAATATTCATAAAAACAGAATCATAATATGTAATTCTTATTCAATATAGGTAATTCAATGGTTCATGGAGTTTCTCAGTGTTTGTGGTGAAGTAGGCCGGTCTCCTCATGACTCCAGACCCACAGATGTACACCTGCAGAGAGCGGCGCCGCTCCCTTTGGGAGGAACCGGGCCAGATCTGAGGCGGATCTGAGCCGGATCAGCACTCTCTCTGGACTGTGACTCTGGCAGCTGGAGCTCTGAGCAGATGGCAGAAATGGCAGAGCACTGAGGGAGAGATGATGCTGAACGATTGGCACATGAGAGACACTTCATGATGATCATCTACACTAAACTACAGAGCCAAACTCAGCAGAGAAAGACTCTAGCAGCGTCGGGTCTGAGGGACAAACGCCAGTCGACCCACTGCCCCTCAAATGGTTGTGATCCGTCCAGCTCACACATGGATATCAGGCATCAGTCCTGAGCATAGCAACACCCTAGTGACAGCATAGCAACCACCCGGAACACTCTAGCAACCTGGTTCAAAAGATCAACCAGTTACAAGTTTGTTGGGTTTCTGTTAAAAAGTTGCTAGGGTGTTCTGGGCACAACAACACCCTAGCAACTGCATAGCAACCAAGTACACACTAGCAACCACCCAGAACATCTTAGCAACCTGGCTGAAAACATAAAAACAGAATCATAATATGTAATTCTTATTCAATATAGGTAATTCAATGGTTCATGGAGTTTCTCAGTGTTTGTGGTGAAGTAGGCCGGTCTCCTCATGACTCCAGACCCACAGATGTCCACACAGCCGGCGGCGTCTGGTTCTGCTGCGTGGCTCCTGCAATGGCTCTGGCTCAGACCGGATCACTGTAAACCAGCACCACAGGACTGCCTCTGATCCGGTCTTAAACACACTGAACTGACTCTCCTGCTAGAGAAGATCTCAGAGTTTCTCTGCATGAGCGACCAGATCCAAGAACACAGGAATCTCTGAACTAAACCTCCTGGTGAAGATCTCAGAGATTAGGAGTTCTATCTATCTATCTATCTGTCTGCGACAACGATAGCAACTAGTAAACACCCTAGCAACATTCCAGAATCCCCTAGCAACATCATGGCAACACCTTAGCAAACATCCGGGTGCTCTAGGTGGTTGCTAGTGTGTTGCTATGCAGTTGGACAACAACCCAGAATCCCCTAGCAACTGCAGAGCAACAACCTTGCAACAACAACTCAAAACATCCAAGCAACTGCATAGCAACACCCTAGAAACCAACACAGAACATCCAAGCAACCGCAGAGTAACAGTTTAACAACGGGATAGCAGCACTCTAGCCGTCACCAACTAAATAGTAACCACCCACAACACCCTAGCAACCACCCAGAACACCCTAGCTACCGCATAGCAACACTCTAGCAACAACCCAGAATCCACCCAGAACACCCTAAAAATGCCATAGCAACACCCTAGCAACCACCCAGAACACCCTAGCAACAACCCAGAATCCAGCCAGAACACCCTAAAATCTGCATAGCAACACCCTAGCAACCACCCAGAACACTCAAGCAAGTGTTTGTCTATCTGCAATCTGTCTGATAGACTACATGACCTTAAAATCTTCAAACTTTAAGCTTTTAAAACTACTTCTACTATCTTCTGCTCAGGCTTTCTCAAGTTTTTTTTATCTAGTCTGGTCTATTATAATCTGATCTTTTCATTAAGGTCCATCAAGTTTAGAATGAAAAGAGAAAATGATCCAGTGAAATGAAACACCTAATTCACTGGATTCTATAAAACAGGCACTGAAACATGATTATTAAATACATAAAACATTTAATTGAATATATTGATTCTGATTCTGTTACTGTGACGTGAGACTTGAGTCAAAGCCTCCTCTCATATGTGCAGCATGTTTGGATCTGCAAAGTAAATGAATGCAGTTTGCAGCTCTTCACTCACAGCGAGAACAAACGCAGATCCATTACACCTGCAGAGAGCGGCGCCGCTCCCTTTGGGAGGAACCGGGCCAGATCTGAGGCGGATCTGAGCCGGATCAGCACTCTCTCTGGACTGTGACTCTGGCAGCTGGAGCTCTGAGCAGATGGCAGAAATGGCAGAGCACTGAGGGAGAGATGATGCTGAACGATTGGCACATGAGAGACACTTCATGATGATCATCTACACTAAACTACAGAGCCAAACTCAGCAGAGAAAGACTCTAGCAGCGTCGGGTCTGAGGGACAAACGCCAGTCGACCCACTGCCCCTCAAATGGTTGTGATCCGTCCAGCTCACACATGGATATCAGGCATCAGTCCTGAGCATAGCAACACCCTAGTGACAGCATAGCAACCGCCCTGAACACTCTAGCAACCTGGTTCAAAAGATCAACCAGTTACTAGTTTGTTGGGTTTCTGCTAAAAAGTTGCTAGGGTGTTCTGGGAACAACAACACCCTAGCAACTGCATAGCAACCAAGAACACACTAGCAACCACCCAGAACATCTTAGCAACCTAGCTGAAAAGATCAAACAGTTGCTAGTTGGTTGCAGTTGCTAGGGCATTATGGGTAGTTGGCAGCATGTTGCTATGCAGTTGATAGTGTGTTCTGGGCATAGCAACACACTAGCAACTGCATAGCAACCACTCACAACAACCTATGCCGTTTCTTTGGTTTTCTAGGTGGTGGCTAGACTGTTGCTATGCAGTTGTTATGCCCAGAACATCCTAGCAACCACACATAACACCCTAGAAACCACCACGTACACACTAGCAACCACCCAGAACACTCTAGCAAACTGGTTGAAAAGATTAAACAGTTTACCAGTTGGTAGCAGTTGCTAGGGGATGGCAACAACTGCATAGCAACCAAGTACACCCTAGCAACCATCCAGAACAGCCTGAAAAGATTAGCCAGTTTGCTAGTTGGTTGCAGTAGCTAGGGGACTGTGGGTTTATGCAAGGGTGTTACTATGCAGTTGTTAAGGTTTTCTGGGCATAGCAACTGCATAGCAACACTCGAGCCACCACCTAAAAAACCCAAGAAACCACATAGCAACTACTCACAGCACCCTAACAGCCACCAAATACACCCTAGCGACCACATAGCAACCACCAAGTACACTCTAGTGACCACCTAACAACCCCCCAGAACACCCTAGCAACCTGGCTGAAAAGATCAACTAGTTGATAGTTGTTGTTGTTAGGGGATTGCAGGTTGTTGCTAGGTTGTTCTGGGCATAGCAACTGCATAGCAACACCCTAGTGGCAGCATAGCAACTCTCTAGCCACCTAAAAACAACATGAAACTGCATAGCATCCACTCACAAAGTTCTAGCCACCACCCAGAACACCCTAACAACCTGGGTAAAAAGATCAACCAGTTGTTAGTTGGTTGCAGTTGCTAGGGGAATCCATGTTGTTGTTATGCAGTTGCTAGGGTGTTCTGGGCATAGCAACACCTTAGCAAATGCATAGCAACATTCTAGCCACCACCTAGAAAACCCAAGAAACTGTATAGCAACCACTTACAATGCCTTAGCAACCATCGAGAATGACAATCCTGTCATCATTCACTCACTCAGTCAGATTAACCGAATTAATGTTTTTTCTGCGGAACGTTCTACACTGATGTGGTGAGATTTCAGTGTTATGACAGAGAAGAGTGAATAACATTTAAAAGTCACAGAGGTTTGAAAAGACATATGGGCGAGTAAATGATGACAGAAACAATCCCTTTAAGAAGAGCAATTCATCTATCAGCTGATCCTCAGCATCTGCTGGGATCAGGAACGTGTTTCCACATGGACTCATGGATAATGCTGAAAACACCACTCGGTCGTGTAGTTAAGCGTTAATCTCTTCAGTCTCGTTCGACCAATTATTTTGCCATTTATGAAGGGAACACCATCTGGAAGACGTGATTTACTCAAAAACCAGTACAAACAAGAAACACAACACTCACAAACACAAGAACACACACAACAAGAGGAAACTAGATGCTATTTTAAAAACGAACTATCTATCTATCTATCTATATATCTATCTATCTATCTATCTGCAATGTCCTAGCAACAACATTAGTAATGATCTTGCAACCACCCAGAACACCCTAGCAACCATTCAGAACAGAATCCCCAAGCAACTGCATAGCAACACCCTAGCAACCACCTGGGTGTTTTAGCTGGTTTCTAGGATGTTGCTATGCAGTTTCTAGGGGTTTCAGGTTCGTTGCTAGGATGTTGCTATGCCGTTGCTAGGGTGTTCTATCTATCTACCTATGCAT